CGGACCAGGCCATTTTTGATCATGTAAAACATGGTGAGCCTGGATGGTCGTCAATGTTCTTCCAATGTTGACCAGCCCAGTTTTTCTAACATGCTGCCAACACTTGGGGTGTTTCTGTAGTGGTTCAGGACAACGCGTGCTGCCCGTCGCTGGACCTCCTCCAACCTGTCACTGCTTTTCTTGGTAAATGGGTCCCAGACTGTAGAAGCGTACTCTAAAAGAGGCCGGACAAAGGCTTTATAGGCTTTTTCTTTCACGCTTGAGTTACCGATCTACTTATTGCGCCTTAGGAACCCCAGGGTCTTGTTTGCCCGGATGCACACACTGTTAATGTGCTCGTCCCAGCGGAACTCTCTTTGAATGGTAACACCTAGGTACCTAACTGAGGAAACTGGCTCAAGAATATGGCCATGCAATTCGTAAGAGTGATTTAGAGGGGATCTGCTTCTGGAGACTGACAGGGTCTGGCACTTGACGGGATGAAATTCCATGTCCCAGCTCATTTCCCACTCAGCTAACCGATTGAGGTCTTGTCGGAGCTGGCTCTGGTCAGAACTGTTGATGATCGTCCTATACAACTTTCACAGGAAGCTGTTCGGCGGGCTATCACAGGATGCTGTCAGACGGGCTGTCACAGGAAACTGTGAGACGTGCTGTCACAGGAAGCAGTGAGACGTGCTGTCACAGGAAGCTGTGAGACGTGCTGTCACGGGAAGCACTGAGACGTGCTGTCACAGGAAGCTGTGAGACGTGCTGTCACAGGAAACTGTGAGACGTGCTGTCACAGGAAGCTGTGAGACGTGCTGTCACAGGAAGCTGTGAGATGTGCTGTCACAGGAAGTTGTGAGGCGTTCTGTCACAGAAAGCTGTACAACGTTCTGTCACAGGAAGCTTTGAGATGTGCTGTCACAGTAAGCTGTGAGGCATACACTGAAATGGCGTTACAGTAGATACTATACTCCCGACATAATAGTCTGATCGAGATAACTATTTTATTTTAACTCATATTCAAATTAAAAAAACGTTAACAAAGGAATGGCCTTTCTTTGTCATTTAAAAAAGAAAATACGTGTCTTTTTTCCTACCATTCCCCACTCACCACTCCTTACTCGCAGAGTCGGATCTAACTTAAACAAATGAGGCACTTTTATTTGTTTCATTTTATGTGGGCTTTAAAGTAATGATGTAATTTCCAGAGGTGTTGGTCATTTTGAACATTCCCATGAGGATTTCGGACATATCCATGAGTATTTTAGACATTCCCTTTGGGCATTTCGGACATCCCCTTGAGCATTTCGTACATCCCCTTGAGCATTTCGTATATCCTTTTGAGCATTTCGGACATCTCTTTGAGCATTTCAAACATCTCCTTGAGCATTTCGAACATTCCATTGAGCATTTCAGACATTCCCATTAGCACTTCGGACATCCCCTTGAGCATTTCGTACATCCCCTTGAGCATTTCGTATATCCTTTTGAGCATTTCGGACATCTCTTTGAGCATTTCGGACATCTCTTTGAGCATTTCAGACATCTCCTTGAGCATTTCGGACATTCCATTGAGCATTTCGGACATTTCCATTAGCACTTCGGACATCCCCTTGAGCATTTCTGACATCCCAATGAGCATTTCGGATATCCCCTTGAGCCTTTCCGACATCCTTTTGTGCATTTCGGACATCTCCGTTCTATAACAAATAACAGAAGTATGGGGGAAAGGGGTGCTATAACGGACATCATCGAAGTTTTAGAAACTTTTTAAGGATCACCAATAAATATCAGCTTATTAGTAGCTGTCGACTATTAAGGAATAAATTTAAAGTGTTATTATGAAGATAAACGCCTGTTAATTAAACTGAGATGGGCGGAAAATGTCATGGCAGCCTTCTGGGCTTTTTCTTGGATCGCATCAATGGCGTCTGTAAAACTTGACCAAGATCATTCTCTGGGTCTCTATTTGCATTTCTCGTTAAGTTCCAAACAATGACAGATACGAAAGTTAAAGAAGCTTCGCAGAGAATGATACTTGACCTCATTTGGGTTTGATTTTGTAAAGAAATGCAGCCTTTCAAGTAGGTCATGTCACGATTTGAAGAATTTTATAACATTGTGTCACAGTCATGAAATCAGCGCTTCTTTGACAATCGTGCACAATTAACGTGTCTAAATGTTATGACAGCCTTAAGAATTTATTTAGAGGTCAGTGATCGGGAATTCCAGCGGAGAACGAATTGCTTCGAAAGTGAAACAAAGTGCAACAGAAGTCAACACAAATATGATTTTACTTCCAGTATTTTAAAGATCAAAATCAAAATATTGCCTGTTAAAGTGCGCCTTTGATAAATTGTGTTATTGGTTCACGTAGAGTAATGAAAAGCAATATGGCGCTTCGGTTGTGAAATTTGCGAAGTGGGTCTCAAAATTTCGTCTCCGGGTGGCCTCTAGGGAGCTTAATCAGATGTTTTAATATGGCTCTGTCCACGCGTGAATCCACTTGCACTAATTTTATGTAGACGACGTGTTTACGTCACTTTCCCCGTGCCGTGAACTCTGTCTGACCCCAAATTAGGCTGCGTTCGCATTGGGCGTGGCTTATTTCTTTTGATCTTGTTTACCACAAATTAAGCTATCGCCTGTTTTGGTTGAGTCCAAGGCTGTAGAAAATTGTAGTAAATTGTGGAATGTATAGTAGAATCCGGAAAAGGCCTCGAATTTTCGGTAGAACTGACTATAAAAGCAAAGAGATCACTATTGGGAGAGTGAGATTTTGACTTAACGAGACAAGAGTGTTTATTTTGTGTTCACTTATATGTATTAACTCATATTCATCATTGTACCTTATTTGTTTGGCACATTGTACTAACTGTGTACAGGTACAAGATCTACCATACTCTGTAAGTTGATGATTTTGTTTAAATATATTTCTTTTATTCGTTAATTATTTTTGATAACTAAATAAATCCTATTAATTGTCCTTAGCACTGTTTCGGGTGTCGTATTTTTGTTGTTTTATTCCTCATATGGTATCGTCCCTTGTTATGCACTGTTAAGGAGGAGCCAAAAACATAAAATAAGAGATTAATTTCTCACTATAGAAGGCAGTGCGTAACACTAAAGTAGATGGCAAAATTATGAGAAACAAAAATGGCATCATCTCTGTGACTGTCGCAATAGTTGTCACAATAGTTGTCACAATAGTTGTCACAATAGTTGTCACAATAGTTGTCACAATAGTTATCACAATAGTTGTCACAATAGTTGTCACAATAGTTGTCGCAATAGTTGTCACAATAGTTTTCGCTATAGTTGTCACAATAGTTATCACAATAGTTGTCACAATAGTTGTCGCAATAGTTGTCCCAATAGTTGTCCCAATAGTTGTCGCAATAGTTGTCGCAATAGTTGTCGCAATAGTTGTCGCAATAGTTGTCGCAATAATTGTCGCAATACTTGTCGCAATAGTTGTCGCAATAGTTGTCGCAATAGTTGTCGCCATTGTTGTCGCAATAGTTGTCGCAATAGTTGTCGCAATAGTTGTCCCAATAGTTGTCGCAATAGTTGTCACAATAATTGTCACAATAGTTGTCGCAATAGTTGTCACAATAGTTATCACAATAGTTGTCATAATAGTTGTCGCAATAGTTGTCCCAATAGTTGTCCCAATAGTTGTCGCAATAGTTGTCGCAATAGTTGTCGCAATAGTTGTCGCAATAATTGTCGCAATAGTTGTCGCAATAGTAGTCGCAATAGTTTTCGCAATAGTTGTCACCATTGTTGTCGCACTAGTTGTCGCAATACTTGTCGCAATATTTGTCCCAATAGTTGTCCCAATAGTTGTCCCAATAGTTGTCACAATAGTTGTTGCAATAGTTGTCACAATAGTTATCCCAATAGTTGTCTTAATAGTTGTCGCAATAGTTGTCGCAATAGTTGTCCCAATAGTTGTCACAATAGTTGTCGCAATAGTTGTCGCAATAGTTGTCGCAATAGTTGTCGCAATACTTGTCGCCATTGTTGTCGCAATAGTTGTCGCCATTGTTGTCGCAATAGTTGTCCCAATAGTTGTCGCAATAGTTGTCCCAATAGTTGTCGCAATAGTTGTCGCAATAGTTGTCGCAATAGTTGTCGCAATAGTTGTCGCAATAGGGATTTCATCAATATTTTGAAACTTTGCTTGAGCCATGACTCTTAATGTTGGGAGGGAACAAAAAAAATCAAGTAAAAATTCCGTATTGAAAAAGCAGCAGATGAAATACACACATTTGTGTAAGCAATGTTTACTGACAAAACTGGTCGGACCCTGGGACGGATAGACGAAGGGATGAAACTCAGTTTTATGTAGGTCTACTATCCACGCCATACTTCAATATATCCGAGCTTAGTGTATTATAATCATCCTAACAACGCCAGCGGTTAGCCGTTTGTTGGTGTGTTTTTTTTGTTTTGTTTTTTTGAAGATTGATTGAAAGACAAATTAAAGAAACTTTTAAATGCATGTTTCGTCAACCTCACTCGCGAACCTTTGCATTAAAATAACGCCTCAGTAAGTGGCACCTATGAAGCCTTGTCTATATGGATGTTTCCCTTTACGAAGGTTAGCCTATATGGGGCGTTTACCTTTATGAAGGTTTTCCTATGTGGATGTTTACTTATATGAAGGTTTGCCAACATGATGATTTGCAGATAAGGATGTTTGCCTTTAAGAAGGTGGGGCTTTAATCCTAACAAACTTTTTATTATCTTCACTTTTGTGCTGATAAGTATTTGCGTAGAGGGCTCCACTTGGTTAAATGACATAATGGAAGGATGTTAAACCTGTTTCTTGACATTTTAAATCAATAATCATTAGAATAAAAATGGGATGTAATTGAATATTTATCAGATTTACAAGATTGAGACAAACTTCAAATAGTTATAAATGGTAAACTTTATTGTACACGTGATACTTTGCAAATAGAAGAAATACTACACTATATATAGGTAATACAGCAACGAAACAAGGCACTTATGCTCTATAGGTCTCATTAAGTACACAAGAATCTGATCACGTTTACGCAAACTTTCCCTTTAGACAGCTTCATGTCATGACACAGAGATTTTTCAATTTCTACATGTAATCCTCGCTATCTTGTTTATCTCATTCCTTGAACCACAAATAAGTATTATCCTCGTAGAAACAGATAGGTTATCATCCTTGAACCACAAACAAGAATCATCCTTCTAGAAACAAATAGGTATCATCCTTGTAAGGCACCATAAGGTTTCATGTTAGAGAAGTATTGGTTCATCTCCAGTTGGTCCGATTCGACAAGTCTCTCTTCGCCACCTCGTCTAGCTCCAGTGTACATCACGTGACTCGACGGCTGTACGTACTGACCCCAACTCACGGACCGGCTGTTCATCGGCATGTCGCTAACGATCTCAATCTGCTGCTGTTCTGAAACCCCTGGGTGCTGTCGTTTCCTACTCCGCTTGTGCTTGGGCTTGCCGCATTCTTCGGTAATTATGACCTTCATGAGCAGACCGGAAGTGATAAGGGCACCAATCAATACGAAGACCATTCCCAGAACGATCACCGTGTAGATGGCGACCATGAATCTCGCGTGATCTGCCTCGTTCTTCTCGTTCTCCTCGGCTGACGCTTCCATGTTGAGGGTGTAATTGGGGTTCACCGGCCAGAACAGACCCGTCACTGTCAATATGATGCCGACTGCTATACAACAAATGGCCACATCGCTCAGACATTTCTCACTGACACTGCACTTCACCGCCATGGCGTACGTCGAATTTCGCCTTTAACCCTGAACTCAATTAAAGAACTAATTCAGGTGTCTTAATTTGAGACTTCATTAGCGCCTGCGAATTGCAACGTATCCTCAAAAGATATACATCATTTAAACACTCCTTGAATCCAAATGGATCATTTCCGGTTAAGTTTTGAATGGAATAGGCACCTCATGTTTTCTATTGTGAATTATTTTCTTATGCAAAGCGCTGGTTACACCACAATTTGAAGAAATGGTTTTATGTCTATTAATGGATCTAAAACCATGCGCTGCATCCAGGTGAATAAATAACAATGGATGTAAAACAACATAAATTGCCTACTTGTAAATTGTCATATTACATTTTTTAAAGAAAATGAGGAAAAAATGAGATCACCAAAAAAAAAAATATTTTTTTAAAATTTTTGGCCAGTCTCCTAATATTCTCGAGAATACAGCAAAGGAATCTGGCAACAAAGAATCCACAAGAATCTTGGGACAAAAATATCCCAAAGAACCTGGCACCAAAAGCTACGGCCGGGTACAATGCTCAATGGAAGTTCCTTGTGTCCTCATTGTCGTAAAGGCTCATGGTTTGGGTTCAAATATTGATGTTGAATCGTCCTTCCAAGCCATTCATTGAATTAAACAACACCGTGAGTAGATCATTTGTTCATCTAGAAAATAGGACATAAATAATTAATTGAATTCCTTTGTTGAATTCGTTTAAAGTTAGAACACACTTTCATAACACATGTATAATCAATATCTTATAGAAAACATCATTTGATGCGTTCATGTGATATGCGGCATCTTAACTTATTCTCGGATAAGATGTATATGATATGTTAATGATGTCTTATAGCAAAAAAAATTTGATGTGTCCATGTGATATGTACCATCTAACTTATGAGCTGATAAGATGTATACATTTTGATGATATCGTATAGAAAACACCCTTTGAGGCGCCCATGTGATATGTGGCATCTTAACTTATGGTCATATCATATTTTTATGATACGTTAATGATTTGAAAATGTGTCTTTACACTACATAAGATATTTATTCGTATTTTTTTTTTTTACACCGCATCAACACTCCGAAAAAGCATTGACTTATCAAATACGTTGTGAATAGAACCATTGACCAAGCCACTCTAACATTTACATTCACAAAACTAGCATTACTTGCCTTAAAGTAGACCTACAATACTTAAAACACACAAGAGGGACTAAGCACGCTCAAAAATGATGTTATTTGATCAGCAATTTAGATAAACAATAAACATTCAACATATGCCTCAGGTGTGTGTATTAAAACTGAAGAGATCGCCGTGCTAGAGTCGATGTGTTGCGAGTAGATTTAAGCAGTACACGCTCACCAAACGTGGACATTGTGGTGGATTTATCTAAAAGGGGAAAAAATCGATTACCTACATCAGCTGTGTGGTAGCAGCTTTCTATATAAATAGAACATTCTGTCATGTTAAATCGCCATTCATTGTGCCTTCTTGTATGCGTGCTCCAATAGAGTGACAGTGTCATTCCTCCAAGGCTACTTGGCTACAAGTTTGTATTCGAAAAAGAAAGTATTTTAAAAAAAAAAAAGTAAAAATTAATGTCCTAGATATTTGGTTGAATAGTTGCAACAGTTTAAAAAAAAAAGTAAAAATTAATGTCCTAGATATTTGGTTGAATAGTTGCAACAGTTTAAAAAAAAAAAGTAAAAATTAATGTCCTAGATATTTGGTTGAATAGTTGCAACAGTTTAAAAAAAAAAGTAAAAATTAATGTCCTAGATATTTGGTTGAATAGTTGCAACAGTTTTCAAAAAAAAAGTAAAAATTAATGTCCTAGATATTTGGTTGAATAGTTGCAACAGTTTAAAAAAAACAACTTGTTCCGCTTTCTTTCTATGTTTGTTTATATATATGACCAAAGAGAGAGAGAGGGGGGACAAAGAGAGAGAGAGGGGGGGACAAAGAGAGAGAAAGAGAGAGAGAGAAAGAGAGAGAGAGGGGGGACAAAGAGAGAGAGAGGGGGGACAAAGAGAGAGAGAGGGGGGACAAAGAGAGAGAAAGAGAGAGAGAGAGGGGGACAAAGAGAGAGAGAGGGGGGACAAAGAGAGAGAAAGAGAGAGAGAAAGAGCGAATGAAAATAATCTCTCAAAATATAACATCGATTGCATTCTTAGTGGTGATACTAATTTAAAACGTAAATTACAGATAATTGTCAAAGTTGAACAAAACAACTCAAACAAAAAAATCACCATTAAAGATAGAAGAAGACGGTATTGGGAACTCGAAAAGTACATTTACGATTCCTGCAATGTAAAAACAAGAAAGAACTGTTTCAAAATTGTGTAACTACTGCAATGGAAATAGATTTTAGAATATTCTGCTGACATTCTTTTAGACCAGACCTTTCCAAATGTTTAATGTCCGCGACACACTTTTTAGACACACAACCTTTCAAAGTTTAACCAGTACACCCAGGGCTACCTGTTACAGTACACCCAGGGCTACCTGTTATCATTACATCCAGGGCTACCTATTTCAAGACGTAGGAGCACAAATGTAAGGTGTAACGGCAATGTCGTATAGTTCACAGTTAGCGAGCTTATTATATGACACATTTTTTCAAACACTCATTTGTTATGAATTTTTTTTTAACCAATTTTTCTTCTTTCACTTTCCAAATCATTTTCATGTCTTTCAATCTCATAGCACTGAAATAGGTGAGCTTATTTTATACGAATACTAAAATAGGTCTGCATGATCAAGCTATGCCTATGTTCTGCCCCGAGATTGTTTTGAATGTCTTCCTATATAAAAATAAGCATCAATTTCATTAATTTGTATACATGACAGGCACCCGACCACGTCATACGACAAGCACCCAACCACGTCATACGACAAGCACCCGACCACGTCATACGACAAGCACCTGACCACGTCCCACGACAAGTACCCGATCACGTCACACGACAAGTACCCGGTCACGTACCACGACAAG